CGGCTGGCAGGCCGGATTCGCTGGAAAAGTAAACGTCGTTTTCTATCAGTTCGACCGGGTTTCGAAGGTGACGAAGGAAACGGAGGTGCGGTGGTGGCATCGATCGGTCGTCGAAATCCCCGGTCGCGTCGATGGTCGATCGTTACGGCCGGTGTGGCGGGCAACGAGCATCCTGACGATCGTCGATAGAGAACAAAGTGGCGAAGACTCGTTTTCGGAAGGTTTGCGTGAATATCGCGGACGGGACAAAATGTGCAGCAAGTGCAGTGAGTGTTGCCAAGGATCTAGACACAGTGTGGACGCTAGCCCCACGTCAGGATCAGATTCCGAGGCCTCAGGTAACCGTAGCGGCTTTTTAACGATCTCTCGCGGCTTAACCGACCATCGTTGCCCGGCTTCCTCGAACGCGCGGCTCCGTTGCTCCCCTTTCGCTCCCTATAAAATAAAAAAGAACTTGTTCCTCGCGAATCGACCCTTTGTTTTTCAAGCTGGCGCAAGTTTTTCATACATTCGGGCGTTCTATAATATCGAGCTAGAAATCGGTCGTTGCAAGTTGAAAACACGGATCATCGAAGTGTGCAGCATCATTGGGCGCGGTCAGTACTAAGATGGGTGACCGCTTACATTATTTATATCTCTATATCGGTCTTGTAATTGGGCATTCAAGTTTATATTAAAAAGGAAAGAAAACTTTGTAAATTGAAGTAAGACATTTGTATAGGGTTATCCAAATCGAGTGTCACATCTTTAAATTGAAATCACAAACTATTTGAGATATTTCAGATTTTTTATATTTCAATATAAAGTTCACTTCGTAACATTAACGCGTTCACTGTCCAGTTTCTCAGCGGAGTATCCAATAGCACGGTGATATGACCCATATACGGGTCCATGGACAGTGAACGTGTTATAATCGTGGGTCACAATTTCATTCAAGTGGCTCAATTTTCTATTACACTATTACATAATTGAGGTTCTATTTCATTAATGGCGGCTATAATATTGTTTTTTAACTTCAAGTTGATACGTATCACGTGTTACATTACGAACTGAGCTCTTTGAATTTGCCCACTATTCGACGAAGTGTTCTCTCAGAAAGTCAATTAATCAACTACTAAAACGAGCTCGAACAGAACTTGAATGTTTATCATAATTTTCAACAATTTGTACACGTTGTTGCACAAATATAACAAACAATCAAACTGTTTAGCAGTGTCATCTGCTGAAATTTGGATAACCCTATAATAAACAACAAGTTTCTTTTCTATTTTTAGCGAATCACCATTACAGCGTACGATTACGAGTGGGGAACAAACAATACTTTCATAAGAATTTGTACAGAATCAATTGTTTCCTCTCCCGGATAAAGGAACACCTCGCCATCTTCGTATTGCTCGAGAAATAATTCAAAGATAATTACGTATGCCTGAGAAAAGATTTCTGGAGGATCGAGAACAATTTTCGTTCGTTTCTCGCATTCATTTATCGACTCCCGGTCTCGAAATTGGCGTGTTACAGCGTTACGAGTTCGCTACAAAGAACATACCGGAGGCTCGTTTTGGTTTTTCGGGTTCTCGTCGGCCGGTTACCGTTCCAGTTCCGTCGGAGGTTCTTTGGCTTTCGTCGAAGGGAAAAACCCCCGGCTCCGTGAGATGTCTCGAAACGCGAGGATTTGAAAGCGTATCTCGCGCGCCCACTTGATCTCCGTTTAACTCTTTTCATTCGGACGTTCTTCTTCCGGTGTAATCTGCGCCCGGGATCCCCGCGGAGAAGAAACGCGCGTCTCGTTCTTTTCCCGCGGGATTAACTAACGCGATACTTTTTCTCTCTTTCTCTCTCGTCCCTCCCGCAACTCCAACAGTCTAGAAATGAACTTTTAATCTCTTGGTTCGAGCTCACCGGCTGCACCGTCTATTTAAGTTAGCCCCTCTGCGAGCCACGGTTATCTCTATGCGACTTGAAAACACGGTGTATCTATAGCCCTCCTATTATTCTTTCCGTAAGAATAGTCCCGGGGCTGAAAGTCCACAGGACGAACCGCGGGTATTCGTCGAGGAAGTTAACACTTTGACGATCCGCGTCGTGCATTTGGCACTTAGCCAAATATCTACATCGATACGCCTTTCTTCGAGAAAGGTACACGTTCACCCCTAAAATACAACCCACGGGGCTGCAGAAACGTCCAAAAAAATTTTTTTAATTATTTCAAAATTTCTGTAATCCTCCATCAGTACATTATTTTTTAAATGCTTTCGAGAAAAGTTGATTACCAATGTGTTAAACGTCAACGTTAAATAAAATAACTCAGTTGAGATTGAGAATCTGCAATGAAAATTGCTTGCATGAACTATGATAATAACCATTTGATAATACTTCAAACTATAGTAAAGAACAAACACACCTTGAAACATTTTTTCCAAATGTAAATTATACTTCTGCGATTCAATTGGCTCGATGTCTACGGCTAAAATTCTGGATACGTTTCTCTAGAGCCGCGCGTGATGCTCGTACCAATAATCTAACTCGTACACCATCGTTTCGTTGAACGTTGAAAGGGTTGAACGTAACAATCGGTCGCGCAAGAGCAAACGCGTGAACCGTTTACCGTCGACCGATAAGCGGAACCGGGTTGGTAAAACAGGGACGCGCGACTTCCTCTTCCGGCGCCGTCACGATCCCGTCCGTGACGAGGCTGTTCGTGACGCGTGCACGCCAGGAACGAAAGAGGCTCGTTGAGGCGGCACGAAAACATCAACGGGGCTGTAAACAAGGTTAGGAAGAGAAGACACCAGGCTGACAGGGTTTGGTTGAAAGGAGAGGAGTATGCTCGAAGCGATGCGGCACACGCCACGCCTGGCCTCGAGCGTAATTTTCCCGCTTTCCCTTCGCCGATCGCAGTTTGCAAATACACGGACCTTTTGACTTTTAGATTCCGGACTTCGAAGGCAGTTTATCCGGCGGAGTATTTTCGCGCGCGATGTTTGTCATGGAAATGAACCCGGTCGTAAGGCGAGGAGCACCGATGGCCGTCCCGACGGTTTTTATTAAATCGTTAGTCGACGTGTAACACTCGATATCGCGACGGGGGCGACGTACAGGTGGAAACGTCGACGGGTTCGAAGGTCTCGAAAGTGGGTCGACGGGGCGTAAATTTAAATTCATACCTCCCGCGTGGCTGAGAATGCGGAAGTACCCGGCCGCGACGCGACACGGTGGATATCCTTATAAATTTACGCGGCGCATAGTCCGCTCTGGCTCGTGCAAGACCAGGAGCGCCCCGTTTGCGCTCGTGAAATATGCAGGATACATGTAGGTACGCGCACGTACCGCTACCTACGCTTTGCCAAGGCTCTTTGTGTTCTCGCGGAATCGAGTGCACGCTCTCCCCGGAGTTTTCGGAGGCTTCGTTGCTGCGTCAGTTCGCAAACAACGACTAATTTGCCAAAGGAGCTGGAATTACGAACTTATCGTTACACTGTTGGATCCTCCTCGCCGATTTCTATGATTTTCAAACATGTTATAGAACTCGACATTCTGAACAAATTTTTATTATACGCATAAACCCCATTCGATGTTACATTCCGAGATATTGGCAAAATTATCCAGCTTCGTACACCCGATGAATTTTGCAAATATCTCTCGTTCTCGAAAAACTTGTTCAGAATATCGAGTTCTATAACATATTTGAAAATCATCGAAATCGGTGAGGAGTACCCTTTTCCTAATAATTACCCAAAATTTGTTATAAAAATCGCGGAATCGCTGCTGTGGAACCGAGTCACTACAGACCCACGCATCCAAGTTTGATAAATTCCGGAGAATGAACGTAGCAGATTTCTATCGAGTAAATTTTCTGAAAAACCAAGCTTCTGCGACTTCATAATGAATAAATAACGACCCAAACGATGGATACGTTAAGGAATGTTTATACTGGTAATTATGTGTCACGAGCACAAGTACTCGATAGATACAGACTCTAATCAAGACACTGATTGTCGATTTCAATTAAAGCGGTAATTGTTAATTGTCACACATTATTGACAAACGATTTAGCGGTCAATCGCCTTCGACTATTGAATGTCACGGAAGTTTAACGTATTTATGGCTTGCACGAAGCATTAAAATTAAGTAAGTGTCATTTTTAGCATCTTAATGCCAATTCATTAAATAATCTTCATTTCTTATTCAATATTTTGATCGTAGTTGACTCTCTTTAAATAACTAGCATTGAAACGATCGAAAAAAGAGACCTTCTTTCGCCCAGATTTCACGTAACGCTTCGGGTACCCCATCTCCGGGTGCAAACTTGGAGACATTGGTTCCAGAAGTTTCCAAAACTCGGAAGAAGGAATTACATGTCTCGGAGAAGTTCGTTGACGCGCGCTTGGCAATTTAATTTCGAATTCGATTTGCATCGCGACGCGGAATTTGCATTTGTGAGCGATCGTGAATGACCCAAATAAATAATTATGAAAAATTAAGAGGCAAATGGGAGCAGCTGATTCTTGCGTGATCTTTTGCAACATACATTCACAAAGATTTTCAGAATTACGGAGTATCTTGGAGTACTTTAAAAAAGTCTAGTCAAAGTTAGGAAAAATGTGTGACTTCGAATTGTTAATGGAATTTGAAGGAAACGTGAAGGGAGAAAAAAACGAAAATTGACTGAAAAAAAGTAAAATAATATTCTCTTTGTGATACAGAATCTTTACCTTATTTATACGATATGCGACAACTAAAATTTCTGTTAGTCAAAAAACTCCTCTCCTAAAACAATTGACGACTCATTCGTTTTGCTAACACATATTCTCATCTAACACGTGTCTATGAATTGCATTATTGGTTTACGTAAACAAATCGGTTCTTTCTACTTTTGTGGATAATCGGGAGTCGGAGTCGGAGTCGTTCGTCTTTTCGTCCGTTTCCGCGCGCAGCAGCTTGTTTCCCGCCGATGGCTTCGATGATGCTAATGGATGCGTATCTCCTTTTTCTTGTTGCAGAGGAAGAGTGGAATCCGGATGGCAAGGGTCGACAGTCCAACGACACCGGTGAGTTTTCACGTTCCGCGCGATTCCCCTTTTGAGAACCGCACCACCTCTCGTCCGTCGATTCTTCTCGTTTCCGTTTTCATTTTCGAGATTTATTACGCGCACGGTGACCCTTTGCGCGCTCCAATCTCTTCCTCCTCTCGCTGGTCGCTCAAGTAGACGCGTCACAAGCTTAACTTAACCCCTGGAATCGGCGTGGCGTCTGTTGGGTTTCCCCGGTTCGTGTTTCAGCACCAACATATATTCTCCCTTTCGGCTGCTCTTCGACGCGTGAAAGCGATACGACAACCGCCCTCCCCCAACCTTGCTTCCTGCTGTCGCGTTAAATTCACCCTCGGCCACGCGTGTGGGATTCCACACACAGCCACCCCCTCGACCCTCTCTTTCCTCCTCGCATTTTTCCTCTGACGGTTCGCCTCGCGCCTCTAGGCCGATTTTTGGACGCCAATTCCTGTCCACTCGACAATTTTACGCTCGAGAATCGCCATTCGGAATAATATGGTTTCGATTTCTGGACCCACTGTCTGAAAGTAACGCTCTCTAATGATAAATTACAAACTTAGTTTTCTCAAACTGAAATAAATATAGAAATACGTAGGGTTAGTTGTCCTAATATGGAATACACGTGTTTCACTCGCTCGCAGAACTTTCATAAAAACTTAAATAGTATGAATTTATAGGAAATTTAACAGTCAAATTTAAAATATAATAACTCTTTACGAAATGTTTACTTTTTTTACTGAGATCCTCATTTTCCATATTAGGCTCATAATGATCGTAATATGGAATACTATATCTGCCTAATATGGAATAGCATAATAGAACTGGATCATTTTTGGAAGGCTTAACGTGTTCTACAAAGTATTTAAATCAATTAGTAAAGATCCATCTGAGTCCAGCCAGATTCCATGAGGAGCACCATTTTTCAATTAATTTTTCATGTTTTTACGAGGAAATATTATCATTGGAGGTGCATAAATTCCACTAGCACTCATACAAACCACCGTGATAACTAGACTTCCCCTTTCTGCTGATATAATTGAACCAATCTGTTTTTTCCCTTTCGTTGCTAGAATTTTCGATAGTCAGACCTGTTTCATCACTATTAAGTATAGCATAGTCTATTTTATATAAATCAAAGAAACAAAATCTCATCGAATTACCGGACAAATACAGAATAACTCATACAAAAATTTAATATAAAAAAATATCGAAAACAGTTCTTCCACTACTATTTTCGAAAGTAATATTAGGGGATGAAACTTTGAAGGGTAGTTTGGCGCGTTAAACTCGAGTTTTCGTAGCTAAACAGGTACACCGTACCCAGTTTTCTTGGCCACTGTACGAATACGAAACGAAAAATATAAAAAATATATTCAAGAAAAAATTTTTATAAATTTTTATGAGAATCGACTACGAGTCTTTCTGCGAGTTGCTTGGACGCGATTCGAAATTTCCGAACGGCGCAACGCGACAGCGCGATCGCGTTTCCATTATGCGTGTGTAATTCGAGCGGCACTCCGATCCAATAATCGAATCGGACGCCCTTAATTCCGAAAAGCGGATTTCAAAGGGAGGTACGCGATCGCACGATCGTGTCTACGCTCCCGTTTCGAGATCTCCGTTGGAAAATTTCGTCGACGGAGCTCCGAGCTTCCGCCTTCTGTCCAAATTCGATGATTCGAACGGTGATTGGCAATCACAGACGGTTGACCAAACCGTCCATGTAACCATTTTGCATTGTACTTGCATTAAAATGTTGCACGGTCGACTATCGAATAATAGAACGATACGTTAAAATGTTAATTTTTATGAATATAGTGTTATCAAGGGAGAAACCACTGTGACGACCGAAAGTAAAGGCAATTTTCAAGAATTTTTTGGGCGTAACTACGAAGCTTTTTCTGATAAATGTTTAATGTCTTCGAAATTACATTTCTTGAACTACTTCTTGCCAAAGTTTCGTATAAAAATATTAATTATTATAGCCATAATAGGAACCAGCCTGGGAGGCCTCCAAAAATTTCTTAGAAACAAGCGGACGTGCAATTTTTCACTGCAAGTTGTAAAACAAGAAATCATGCAATATTCTTAAACTATAAAACAGTAGCTGAAAGGGACCAATAAAAATATTTCGATTTTTTCAATCCGTCACAGTGGTTTCCACCCTTAAATCTAACCCTGATTAACGAAAATGGATTACCAAAATTGATATTTAAAGTTAAAAAAATATGCTTGGGATATTCAACAACCGTGCACGTAATTGTCGTTGGAAAAAAGTGGAACGATTTAACGCGTGGGCGTCCATTAGAGCTCGACAAGCAATCATTTTACGAAGCAGTCGAAAGTCTCGAGGAAACTGCGCGAAAAGTTCTGGCCCATTGAGACAGCAGGAGTATTTAAACGCGGTCGAATCGTCGAAGATACATTTCTCAAGAACGGGAGCGTATTATCGATGCATTTGTTCCCGCGAATTCTGAAGTTACCTTCTGCCGCGATTCGAAGCGAAATTGGTCTAATCTAATTGTGAGTAGGCGAATACGATTCGGTTCGGAATGTAAGATTACTGTTCGAAGTTCTCCGTTGGTTATTACAGTATTTCTCAAACTTTACCTCCCCGCGGAACGCCCTCAATGAAGGAAAACTTCTGGCGGGGATCCTATGACGTAAAATTAAATTATCGCGTTTTGATATACCTTAACGTAGTTATTTCAGGAAATACGTCTATCCTTTGTCGTTTTAACAATTTTGAATACTGTTTAAAAATCCCTCGTTAATCCTTTTATTATTAACCCTTTGCACTCGAAGTTTTTTTTCATTCATATTACCAGCAACTCGAACTTAGTGAAGAGATCATATTTACATATAAGTAAATGATACGCGAATTAAAAGAAAAGTCATCGTTGTATGTTATTATTTTTTTAATTGATTATGGATACAAATGTTATGATATATAAAAAAACAAAATATTACAAAATTATTTGTCTTTGTCCTTACGTTATGAACTGAAAATTATTTACATTGTCTCCATAGCGGAGCCCTCAAGTTTGAAGACAAATTTTAAATGGCTCCGCTCCGAGTGCAAAGGATTAATACCAGAAGGAGAATAAAAAGTGATCAAATTGTTATAAATGTAAAAGAACGATGGAAAAATTGTGCACAAATTTAAAACATTTCAGCGTCCAGTTTCTTCTCGCATGTTTTTGCTACAGATAGCAGAAAACTTTTCAACGGTATTTTTAATAAGTATAAACTACTACGGGAAGCATTCTTTTTATTCCATTATACGATACTCTTCTTTTTATCTGCCGCGAGCTCGCGGACCTGCACCAGACTTCGAACCCCCCCAGGGATCTGCGTGCAACAGTTTGAGAAACACTGGGCTATTGTACAGCGAGCGTCTCGTTATTCATGTCAATTCGAGACCCTAACAAGACCATAAACTTTTCTTACCGATCCCTCTTGCCCGGAATATAGCCCCCGCGGCTCGGAATTTCTCGTAATTATCAAAGTGAAAAAGTGCACAACTATCTAACAGGCTGTCGCGATGTTTGTCCGTCAAATTGTCACGTACTGTTGACGACAAAAAAATAGCACACGCTATGAAATTAATGCGTTCTTTTACTTTTCAAAATCATTGAAGAAGTCATTTATTTTTAAAATCACTCAAAAAGCTGTGAAACCAGTAAAACGAAGCAATCATAAAACTGTTGTTACAAGTGAACGACAACTATTATATGTTTCGTCGAGATAGAAAATAATTGCTCTTCCAAACAAGATTTTTATTACGAAACTGAAAAATAACTAGTGATGTTCACATAGACGAAATAAACTGTCGTATAATACGGTTTCGTGTAAAGTGGTGAACAAATTGCTAGAATTCTCGTATAACATGGTGAATTACGTTTGTGTAACATGGTAGTCACCTTTAAGTGCAGCGCCAACACATGACGATTCCGAGTAGTGTAAACACTTTGCTACGGATACGTACGTTTTTGCGCAGCGATTTTATGGAATCGAATTTGCTCGGTTGCTTTTAGCACGAATTGATCAAATTGTTGATTTTTTTGATGGTGGACATCGTAATTCTTCGACAAAATGGCAATACTTGTACTCTCTTTGCTCTCGGTATACGTGTAAACAATGTAGAATAGTCGTTTTCAAACTTTTTGAAATGTACATCTTTAATTTAAAAAAAAACAATTATTTCTTTATTTACTTACATTAATTGACAATTTATGGGTGCCCAAATTTTCCGGCGAAAAAAAGTATTTCAAATCGTTTAAAACAAATTATTTTCAGTTAGGCGGGTTAATTACAATCATTTTAGGTCGATGGATATACCCCCGAAATCCTACGCACTTTCAAGATAAAAATTCGAGTAGGTGGACAAATTTTTCGGCGAAATTGAAAAGTTTCAAATCATTTTGGAAAAATTATTTTTGGTTACAGAGGTCAATTACAATCATTTTTGGTGAATAGACATACCCTCGAATTTCTACGCATTTTCGAGAAAAAAATTCGAGTAGGTGGACTAATTTTTCGGCTAAATTGAAAAGTTTCAAATCATTTTGGAAAAATTATTTTTAGTTGCAGTGGTCAATTACAATCATTTTTGGTGAATAGACAAACCCTCGAATTCCTACGCATTTTCGAGAAAAAAATTCAGGAAGGTGCATACATGTTTCGGCAAAATTAAAAAACTTCAAATCGTTTTGGAAAAATTATATTTGATTGCGGGGGTTAACTACAATTATTTTTGGTGAATAGACATACCCCCGAATTCCTAACCGTTTTCGAGAAAAAAATTCAGGAAGGTACACAGATTTTTCGGCGAAATTAAAAAATTTCAAATCGTTCTGGAAAAATTATTTTTAGTTTCAGTGGTCAATTACAATCATTTTTTATGAATAGACATACCCTCGAATTCCTACGCATTTTCGAGAAAAAAATTCGAGTAGGTGGACTAATTTTTCGGCGAAATTGAAAAGTTTCAAATT